CGAGCGCACGCGCCTTACAGTAAAAAACCCCAAAAAAAAAAAAAAAAAAAAAAAAAAGACCCTGTGAGATAGCACAGAGCTGTGTGCAAACGACACTGCACACACAAGAACCATTTGTGGAGATGTCTCTGTTCACTCATTCCTTCATTCCACCACCAAGTGTCTTCTGAGCCCACCCAGGAGCCAGGACCTGTAGCAGGTACTAGGAGGAACAACTATAAACCAGGTCCTCAAAGTACTTCGAACACCAGCAGAAGAGAGAGCAAGTGGCTAGTAGTAACACAGATAACTGACCAATGGCACATGGGGTGAGCGCTGCAACAGAGGGAAGGAACAAGGAGGCCAGAGGCAGAAACAACATCCTGAGGGGGCAGGGTTAGGGTTCTAAAGCACATTACGATGAGACGGCTTGTAAGAAGGACACAGGGCCATAAGAAGATTCACCAAGTAGTCTGCCACCCCAACTTGACTGCCTTTTCGTTAAATTTCGTGATCTAGAAAATGTAGGCCATATCCATTTTGAGTAAGGTCTCAATAATATCCTTGTGGACACAGTGGGAACTGTGTTGCAGGCCAATACATTAAGTGATTCTTAAATGTCTGAACAAACAGCTACATGCTCAAGGGCTCAAATCTCAGTCTTGTACTTGGGTTGTAGAGAAAGTCATGACACATTTTTGCATAGAAAAACAGTAAAATATGTTATGACTTTTCCGGTGACCCAGTATTTTTATTGGTATAGTCATAAAAACTCACACAAACATGTTTATCAAAATTTAGGTTAACCCAATTTTGGAAAGGTTATCAGCTACTTAAGATAGAACAAACAAGACCACAGAAGATCTTACCAGGCTGAAAAAATAGGCAACGTACTACTAACTGAGCTTTATCTGTAAGACATGTGTGGCTACCAGCTCCCTGTGGAACCTGAATCCTGACTGACAAGGAGCTCATGGCCCTCTGGTGGTCATGGTGCACAGGCAATAACACAGTACCCCCCAAACCCTGCACCTATAGCAGGTGTCATGCCCTGAGCAAGATGTGGACAAGCAGGAGGCATACGAGGCAGGAGGTATTCAAAAGTAAGACTGTGCCTAGCTGCGGAGAAGCAGATGAAGGAGGGCTTGGGTATAGGGTGAGAGCCCATAGCTGGTTCCTGGGGCTCTGAGAGCAGAAACACCCAGGGCCAGCAAACAGTTGGAGCCACAGGGCAGAGTTGGGGCGAAGAGTCATTTGGAGACTAGTTCCCCCCCAGCTAGACACCAGCAATGGTGGGTGGCCATCAATTTCAGAGGAGGGAAGCTCTGGACATGCTCCTGCGTCAACTCTGCAGCATCTGCTATGCTCTCAGCCGCCCAGCTCCTCACACTCTTCTGCCTGCTCTGAGCTGTGGTGTCCAACTGCCCTGTTGAGAAATGCTGGCTTCTGGTCACTCAGTCTCAACCACCAGCAAAACCAAGTCCCACTCAGGTTCCCTGATTCTGTCTCAGCTCATCTGGAGAGAAGCCCCAGAGGGGCCATGGGGAGTAGCAGCCACATTTTTACTGCCCCTTGCCCCAGGGGTTGGTGCAGTCCAAATAAAATGCCCAACTCCCTTTCCTCATAGGTCTCGTGGTAGTCTGGCTGGCTGGGTTCTGCCAGTCCTCCTTCTCCTTACTCTACTATTCTAGGAGAACTCAAGACCTTTGCAAAGCCAAGTAATTAGGAACCACCTCAGACCCAGTGTGGTCAAATACCAGTCAGCACCTACTAGGGCAAGGCACCAGAATAGCCCCAAGTCCCTCCCTCTTTCAAGTTCTGATCCTAAATGTCTACACATGTACAGGATTGTTCCCCCATGAGAGCCTAAACACTCCCACCACACTCTGCTGCTTCCTCCTGGGTTCCTCAACCTGGCTGACAGCACCACTAACTCAGCCACTTCTCGCCTGTCCTTCTTGCAAGTGTACCCCATATGTCACTAAGCCTGTTTCCTCCTTCCTACACCCATTACCACTGCCATACCTTGAGCTACCTGCCTCTTCTCCTGGCCTTTCCTCCACCCCACCCTTAGTGGTGTCATCAAAGAGGCATGCACCCACTGAGTGGTTGTTGCTACAGGGCGTGTGTATGCACCGGAGAGACACAGAGAGACAGTGAGGGAGAAAGTGAGAAATCACCCCCTGGGGGGATGGCCACATTGCAACCCCTTCTCCTCCATTCTCCTCCTGGAATTTTGGGCATGCACATACATGCACCCAGTATGAGTTTAAAGTTTCTGGGTCCGGGACATGAACTGTGTTCAGCCGTGTGACAGTCCAGCACCTTAACCACTATGTCACCTGCTAGCCCCCAAAGAGGCCTTTTTCAACTTAACTCTCCCAGGTTCCTGCCTGTTAAGCATGAACAGACCAGAGGAGACCTGGCCCCATTTGACTCTGGCCTATCTTTTTACCGCCTGTACTCATGCAGCCCTCACTGTTGCTCCATAACAACTAGCACCTAGCACCTTGACCTTCTGAAGGGCAAGTTGAAATCTGGGCCAAGCCACAGGAATGCAAATAGCATCACTGTCAACTGTGTACTTCAGCCCCTCAAACTTCTCATCCAAACTCTGCTGCGACAAGTGTCATATAGGCCAGGCTCAAGACCAGAATGTTGCTGAATGGACAGATTAACAAAGGGAGTGCCCCTGCTACCCTGCATAATCTGACAGGCTCCAGTGCATTTCTGGGGAAACAGCTGCAGTTCCCTAGAGCTCAGCAAAGGCTCTATGTTTTGACTTCAAGGCCTACCCTTGAGCTTGTCACCAACCAAAGTAGTACCACAGGGCAGATCCTACAAGGTCCCCCGTGTACTTACCAAGGCTGTGGCCATTCTTGGTGTAGAAACAGGTACCATTAATGAGGTTGACACAGCAGCCAATCACATCTCCTGTGGTGAACGTAGGACCATAGGGCTGGCCAGTCCCCGAGGAGCAGAAGGAAAGCCCATCATCACCATGGTAACCATAAGAATGTTTGTCCCAACCTGTGGGGAAACACAGCAGCAATAGCTTGAGTACAGGTACTTGAGAGAGTAACAAGACAGTCACAGCAGTCTCCCCAGGTCTCAGGCCCTCTCCCCAGCCAGAGCCTACTCCAGTCAGCACACTTGGCCTTTCACAGAGCTGGCTACGCCAGATGCACAGTCTGGAAGTAAGTCTGGCAAGTTACCACCCCTATGGCACTGAGGCAGCCTCACTGAGAATAATACTAAGCTGTGGTTAACAGGAACCAAAACTCAGTGACCTAGAAAGGACTTGCCAGAAGCAGTACAATGAGGAGGCAGTCAGGGGAAGGCTTCTGAAAGAGGGGAGCTGAAACTAACCTTGGTAACGTATAGCGGTAGGTTATTAAAATGATTTTTTTTAGACGTTTTTGCTATAGGGCACGTGTGCTTGCCAGAAAGACAGAGAGACAGAAAGCGAGAAATTACCCCCCCCAGGGGGGATGACCACGCCATAATCCTTTCTCCTCCATTCTCCTCCCGGGATCTTGGGCACACAGGCCCACACACCCAGCGTGAGGTTAAGCTATCAGGTCTGGGACTCGAACTGCAGTTGGCTACATGAGAGTCCAGTGATGTAGCCATTACACCATCTGCTGGTCCCTAAAGTGATTTTTAAATTAAGACTTTTTTTTTTTAAGAGAAATTTTTGCCATAGGGCACATGCAATCACCATGAGATAGAGAGACAGAAAGCAAGAAATCACCCTGGAGGAGGGATGGCCTCGATACCATCTCTTCTCTATTTGCCTCTCGGAATCTTGGGCACACACACAACGTGCCTGGTGTGAGTTTCAAGCTGCCAGGTCCAAGACTTGAATCACAGTCAACTATGTGTGAGTCCAGTAATGTAATTGTTATGCCATCTGCTGGTCCCAGAGGCGTAATTTATATATAATTCTAAATGTTTTTTAAAAAATTATTTAACTCAATTTACACCATAAAAGTTCCCTCATGCCCTCTTTGCAGTCAATCTACTCCAGCACCACCTCCCACCCTGTCTCTGACAACACTGATTTGATTTCTTCCTGTGGTTTAGATTTTTCCAGAATGTCACATAAATGGACTCACATAATACAGAGTGTCTTGCATCTGGCTTCTTGAACTTGGCATAATGTTTATGAGACTCATCCTTGTTTCTGGAAGTACCACTATTTTGTCCCTTTTAACTGGAAGTGGTACTCCATTCTACTGATAACACAATTTGTCTATGCACTCACCAGCTGATAACATGTGAGCTGTTTCCAATCATTAGCTATTATGAATAAAGCCAACAATATGTGCATAGAGATTTTTGCACAGACATATGTTTTCATTTATCTTGGGTAAATACTTACAAGTGGTATTTAGCTGGGTCACAAAACAAATGTATTTTTTTTTTTTAAAACAAATGTATGTTTAACTTGTTAAGAAACTGCCAGATTGCTTTCTAAAGTGGCTGTGCTACTTTGTATCCCCACTAGCAACGGAAGAGTTCCACACCCTCATTAGCACTTGGAAGTCTAATCTACTTCCGCTATTTTTTCTTTTACTCATTTAAGTAGTTACGCAGTGATTTTAATACCACTGTAGTTCTGGGACCAGTGGATGGTGTAATGGTTACATTGCTGGACTCCCATGCAGTCGACCATGGTTAGAGTCCCAGACCCAGTGGCTTAAACACACGCCAGGCACATATGCATGCATGCCCAAGATCCCAAGAGGAGAATGGAGGAGAAGGGATTGTGGTGTGGCCGCCCCCGCCCCGGGGGGATGATTTCCATCTCTCTGTCTCTTTCTGTCTTTCTGGCAAGTGCAAGTGCCCTTTAGAAAAAAAAAAAAAATTAAAAATAAAATAAAATAAATCACTGTAGTTTTAATCTGCATTTCCCCAATGACCAATGATATCGAGCATCTTTTCACATACTTATTTTTGCCAACTGTTTGTTAGAAAACTGTTAAACTGCCTATTTAAATCTTTAAGCCCTCCTCCCTTTTTAAGGTTTCTGCCATAGGACATATGCACTTGCTGGAGAGAGAGACAAAGAGAGGAAAAGTGAAAAATCGCCCCCTATAGGGGATGGCCATGCCATAATCCCTTCTCCTCCACTTTCCTCTTGGGATCTTACCTTGGGTATGCACACAAACATACCTGGGGCAATTTTCAAGCCACTAGGTCCAGCACTCCAATCTTTGTTGGTCATGCAAAAGTCCAATGCCTTAACTACCACACCACCTCCTGGCCCCTCTTTGAACCCATTTTTATTGGGTTATTTTTCTTACTGAGCTATAAGGATTTTAGATGTATTTTGGATATAAGTCCTTTAATATGTTTTGTAAATATTTTCTCCTGATTCATCTTTTCACTTTTTTTTTTAAAGAGAGACTTTTGCTATAGGGCACATGTGCTTGCCAGAGAGACAGAGACAGAGAGACAGAAAGCAAGATATCATTCTCCAGGGAGGGTAGCCATGCCACAATCCCTTCTCCTCCATTCTCCTCTTGGGACTTTGGGCACACATGCACATGTGCCTGCCATGAGTTTCAAGCATCCAGGTCTGGAACTGAAACCACGGTCGGCTATGTGGGAGCCATTTACGCCATCAGCTGGCCCCCTCATCTTTTCATTTTCCTAAGTGTCCTTCAAATGCCTGCTGGGATTTTAACTGAGATTATGTTGAATCTACAGATCAATTTGGCAAGAAAAGATGGTTTAACAATACTGATTATTCAAATTAATGAACATGACACATTGAATTATTTTTCTTTAATTTCTCCCAGTAATGTTCTAACAAATTTATCTCTAAGAATTTTGTTTTTAAAAAATATTTATTTTATTTTATCTTTTATTATCATTTTTAAGTTTGACAAGAAAACGAGAGAGAGAGAGAAAGTGAGATAACAAGCTGTCAGATCCAACACTCGAACCGTGGTTGGCCATGTGGGAGTCCAGCAGCCACCTGCCAATCCCAAAATTTCATTTTTTATGCTATTATAAATGGCATTTTAAAGGACCAGTAGATGGCATATGGTTACTCTGGACTCTCACATAGTCGACCACAGCCTGAGTCCCAGATCTGGTGGCTTCAAACTCACTCCTGTCACGTGCCTAAGATCCTGAGAGGAGAATGGAGGAGGAACTGCAGTGTGGCCATTCCTATAAGGGGTGATTTCTTGCTTTCTGTTGCTCTGTCTCTGTCTTGCCAGCGAGCACATGCTCCCTATAGCAAAAATCTCTCTCTCTAAGAAAAAAAATTTCAAGCTTTCCAACTTAAGCTGGGTAGAATGGCTCCCGCAAAGGGTGGTGAGAGGAAGGGCCATTCCATCAATGAGCAGTGACCTGCGAATACACCATCAACATTCACAAGCACATCCATGGCGCAGGCTTCAAGAAACGTGCCCCTCGGGCACTCAAAGACATCCGAAAATTTGCCATGAAGGAGATGGGGACACCAAATGTGCGCATTGATACCAGGCTCAACAAAGCTGTCTGGGCCAAAGGAATAAGGAACGACCCATATCAAATCCGTGTGCGGTTGTCCAAAAAACGAAACGAGGATGAAGATTCACCCAACAAGCTCTACACTATGACCTATATACCTGAGAACTAACTGCTAGTTTCCAAATAAAGTTATATAACCAAAAAAAAAAGAAAAAGAAAAAAAATTTCAATATTGAGGCTAGCAAGTGGCATTGTGGTTAAGATTCCCACATGGCTGATGGCAGCTCAAGTCCTGGACACAGTGGCCTGAAAATCATACTGGGCATGTATGCCCAAAATCCTGAATGGAGAATGAATGAGAAGGGATTGGGTGGGCAAAAACCTAAAAAAAATAAAAATAAAAATAAATAAATTTAAATAACAAATTAGGTTACAGGGGCCAACCAGTGGCAGTTATCACATGGCTGACTGTGTGGTTCAGGTACCAAACCAGGCAGAATGAGAAATACACCAGGAGCACACATGCGTGCTTGCCCAAAAGATCCTAGGAGAATGGATGGAGAAAGGACTATAGCTTTTGCTACAGAGCATGGCTGGAGAGACAGAGAAAGTGAGAAAGCACCTCTACCAAGGGGGTGACCATGCTGCAATCCCTTCTCCATCCTTTCTCTTATGATCTTTTGGGCAAGCATGAATATGTGCGATTGTGCTTTTCACACACCTAGTGTATTTCTTTCTCAAGGATAGTTACACTACTCTAAATATGCTATATATCACTGAATTATATACTTTAAGTGGGTAAATGTTATGATATGTACATTTTATCTCAATAAAGTTGTTAAATATGGGCCTGGCAGGTGGCATGGTGGTTAAACTGCTGAACTCCCACATGGCCAACCATGGTTCGAGTCCCAGACCTGGTGGTTTGTTCTCTCCCTCTTGCCCAATTAAAAAAAAAAAAAAAAGGTTGGGACCAGCAGTTGGCGTAATGACTATGTTGCTGGACTCCTATGTAGTTGATTATGGTTCAGGTCCTGGACATGGTGGCTTTTGTGTGTGCGTGTCCAGGATCCCGAGAGGAAAATAGAGGAGAAGGGCTTGCTGCATGGCCATCCCCCGGGGGGGTGATTTCTTGCTTTCTGTCTCTGTCTCTCTGGCAAGCACATGCACCCTATAGCAAAACCTCTCCAAGAAAAAAAAAGAAAAAAGAAAGGAAAGAGAGAAAAGAAAATTAAATGATTCTTTAAAAAATAATAAATAGTTGTCAAATATGTACATGGATGTGTTTATTTTGGATATGTAGATATAGAGGATATTTCTAAAAGTTCATGAAAAATTGGGATTAAAGTATAAGTTTATTTTGGTGCAAAGTTTTTCATAATATGCATTTCCCATGAATTTTTTTTCTTAATTTGTTTTAAGTCTTTCGGTTTGTATTTTTTTTTTTTTAATTTTTTTATTGAGACCAAAGGTGGCATGGTTGTTAAAGTGCTGGACACTCCCACATGGCCAACCATGGTTCGAGTCTTGGATCTGGGGGCTTGCTTTCTCACTTTCTCTCT